GTCCTGGGGGATGGCGCTAACCCATCCGGGGTCCCTCCGCGCGCGGCAGGGCGCAGCAGACTATACCTGGGGGAGCATCGGCCGTCGTCGAACAAGAAGGTCCGGTTGGTGTGGCCCCCGCCGCGCGCCCCAACCCGCGTACCCCGGTAGACGCCCCCCTGGCTGCACGCCCCGTAGGGGAGCGGCATTGGGTTGGCGGTAGGTCAAACCTGAAGCCGAAGGACAAGCGAGTACGGAGAGACAAACGACTTCTTTTCCGACTTCGCCTTAAAACACATCACTTTTCTCCGATTAAGAAGACGAAAAAATCGTTTGAGTCGCGTTCCGGCGCTGGTGTGGTGCGCCCCCTGCCGGCTTCGCGGGGAACCGAGCTGGGGACCGGGCGGAGGTCGGCCCGCATTCCCCCTGGGGAACCGCCTCCATCGCGACGCTCGGAGCCCCCAAATCCCGAAAAAGCAAGAGAGAAGCTCCTTAAAGGCTTGAAAATCCTAAGATCGCCGCCCACCGGGGGAGGGCTCCCAGGTGGGAGGAGCGCAGTCCCACAGGGGCCTCTGAGGGGTCGGAAGTGTTTAAAGCGCGCAGGCGGTGAGGGCGCCTGCGCTGCTTGGTCCTGCCCTGCTCTGAGCTCCTGGGAGGAGCAGCCCATCAGCACCTGACAGACCCCCGCCCCTCCCCGGCAGTGGTCACTCCTGCGGAGACCTGCACCGTAGGTCCACGCGTCACACCTGGGAGGCGCCGCTGGGCCTGGAGGGCGAAAGGTGGCCTGGACCCCGGGAGGCTGCCCCCTGCCGCCCGCTCGGCGCCTCTGCTGTGCGCTGCCGCCCTGCTCTGCCCTCGCCCCACATAGGGCACCCTGCAGACAGGCAGTGAGGAGGGGCCGCACCCTGCTGCAGCCCAATAACCGAAGGGAAGTCCTCCAGGGGGCAGAGGGGACTCCTAGCGGTCCCCGTGCCCAGCCACAGCCAGCCAGAGGCTCATACGCCCACCCTAGCTCAGGTGAGACTTCCAGCCCACCTGCTCCTCCAGCCAGGCAGCCGCGCAGGTGGGACTGCGGCTGAGGCCCCTCCCGCTGTGCTCCCGGGTCAGTGTGCTCTGTAGGGTCTGCTCCGCCACTTCCATCTCCTGGCCGCTGTCACCCTCTAAGGGCAAAAGGCCTGGCCTTTCCTCCCGTCTGCCGTCAATGCCCCGCCCGGACGCACTGACAGGGCTGACAGTCCCCAGCCGTTCTTGGCCTCAACGCTCCACTTCTCTCCCCTCGCAAATACAGGAGCGCGGCCGCGGGCGGCGCGTGCCCGGGAGGGCGAGCGCGGGCCCCAGAGCCCTCTGTTCTCTTCTGGCGGGAGTGCTGGCCTGGCGCACGGGTCCTGGCCTTCTTGCTCCCTGACTCACCCTCACTGACAGCATCGCCCTCGACTGCAGAGTGACTTCTGTCCTCTGTCCCAGCCTCCTTTTAACCCCTGACCACAGCCTCCTGGGGTTTTTGCCTCCTCTCCTGTGTGGCTTAACACAATGCGCGCCACGTCACTGCCCCTGCCAGTCCTTCCAGAGTCTGACCTGCAGCCCTGGCCTGCGCCGGCCGGCCCTTCCTCCACGCTTCCTTCAGGCTGTGGAGCCCAGCAGTGCCGGAGAGATGGGCCCAAGCCGTCTGACGACAGGACTGCCCACGGTGCTGGCCTGCCGCCTTTCGCCCAAAGTCCCACGCCAGGACGCCTGCCCGCAGCCCGGAGCCCCTCCTCGGATGGAGACAGGTTTCCTGCTTGCCCACGGTGGGTATTTGAGGGGAGACCACACTTGACGCTTTGCTGGCAGCCTGGCTGATGGGGGACCGGGTGGGGAGGACCGCCTAGCTTGAGCTCCTACCTGGGTGCGCCGCTTTCTGGCAACTTCTCCAGGATAGGAGCTGCATGTGGGCGTGGGTGGGACGGGGAGCTTGCATGGGGGTGGGTGCGCATGGTGAGGGCGGGCCAGGTGCCGCCTGGGAGGGGAGCACGTGGGGGCGG